CCTTCTTCCCACTTTATATACTGAGCATGATGTCATATGGTATGGAATATCCATTTGGTCAGTTTGGGTCCCCTGCCCCAGCTGTGTCTCCTCCCAGCCTCCCATGCACCCCCAACTTCCTTGCCAGTGTGGCAGTACAAAAGCAGAAAAGGCCTTGGTGTGAGCACCACTCAATAATAACAAAAACGTCTATGTTGTCAACCCTGTGATTTCTTATCAACTGTTGTAAGAAGTGTGGACAAAGGTAATTTAGACATCTGTCTCAGGAATATCTAATGATGAGTCTTTTCAGAGGTAAAAAAAGATTCACCATCTTTTTACAATGGCCACTGGGTATATTCCAAGATCACTTCAAATAAGTGAATACACTAATTATTTTTTTCCTCTTCATGAAGTGAAGGCAGGGTACAGTTTGGAATATTTCTCAGTAACATCCACCTTCAAGTTTTGCTGAAACAATTATGCAAGGATTCTAACCTGCTTGTTGCACTTGAAATAGACCATATAAAGCTGCTTTGTACAGCTGAGGAAGGTCAACATAGCATTGTACTTTTCTATTAAAAAATCACCAATACCACGCACTTGGGAATATTATCCCCGGGGAAATAGCTTACCTATTGGGGTTATTCTCATATATGCAGTTTAAACAGTGTTGAGCTTGCTTAGCTTTCTGATCAGCTTGGAGCTTCTCTTTTCAATTTTTGAGAGGACATCAAGAACAATAAGGAGGTATTTAGGTGGATTTCTACAGCTAGCCCCTGTATTGCTGAAAAGCTGGATCATGCCCAGAACATGAATACTTCATATTCATTTGTTTGTATTGATTTCGATTTGGATGGAGTGTTTATGTGTCATATAGATTTCGTGAGACTTCTAACAAGGGTCACTGAGGCAAATACTTTTTTAAAATGGCAGAAACTATGTGATGCTGGTATTTAGGTTTTATACAGTGGTGGAACTTGACTGGAACTGTCAACCAAGCAGATGTTGACAGGACTATTTACAAAGACACTGTAAGGAGATGCCCAGAAAGGGAAAAAAAATCTGTCTGTATAAATGTTCTTTGAGCTTTATTGTTACCAAGTGCAAGCTTAAGAGCTTGTTCTTTGCATTCCGAAAGATAGACTAAGAACTAGCTGGATGATGGGGGCGCCTCCCGTTTCTTCATTTTCCCACCCACACATACATGTACAGAAAAGCAAAGGTCACATACTATGTGACTAAAACTGAGACAAGGACATAAATACCAGTGCAGGTAGCCAGTCTCACCTTACTATATTATTGGAGCTCAGCTCACTTGATGGACATTTTGTACATGGATATGTAGGCTCAATTCTCTCTTAATTCTCTCTGGCTTTAAATAATGGATGTAGTAACATGCAGTTATATTCTGGAATGGTATTTGCGTTCTCCTGGTTCAAGTCAGGATCTGGTGCTGCTGGAAAAGACTGGTGACTGGAAAAAACTGGCTAAGAACTAGAACCAGGAAGAAAATATTCCCTGGCTTCCGATTGAGTAAGCATGTGCCAACCATTTCTTCATTGGTGAGTGGTCTGCTGTGGTTACGACTTTGGGGATTGGGGGAAGAAATTACATTTGAGTACTACAGCACTGGGCACTATGAAAGACTATTAGAAGGAAAAACAGCTTTTTAGTATCTCTAAGAATTGGACAGCTGAAGTCAGAAAACAGCGTGCACCGGAACTGTACTAAAGTCAACTTCTTAAAATGGAGGGAGGGTAAAAGCTCCTATACTTCTAACATTTCTTTTAGGGGCCATTAGATATACTCTCTGATCTATCTTCCACATAAGAAAGTTTAGTAGCTTTCATACACAAAGTTATTTGTATTTTTAAGAGTTTAGATACTATTTGACCTAGTTATCTTCAATAAACAAGGCTACCAAAGACTGCATCACTTTTGCTTCGGAGCTAGGAAAGGTTTTAATTATTAGAAGAAATCTCTAATATCAAGCATTTGATACTCGGTCAACAGTGATAAAGAGGTCTTAGGTAGATGCATAGGAAATCTGATACAAATTGGTCAGTAAGTTGCACCAATTAAAAGCCTGCTTCACACTAGAAAGAAGTTTGTATGATAATAGTTAAGAAATAGTTGCACCACAAAACCCAATCAAAAATATGGGGGGTTTTTAATCGTGTTTATAAAAGAAACAATTTAACATGAAGATGTAGCAAGACTACCAAAACAGTTTATACAGGCATTACAGTAGTTCCCCAGTGTGATTTGCGCTCACGAAATATGGTAATTGGAACTCTATGCTTCATTAGAAAAGAGCCTCACATTCAGGAAAAGCAGTCCAAACCTAATCCTACCCTGTCGAGTTGAAATGTGGGGCATGATCAGGAATCACTGAACAAACCAAGTGAGTATTTTCTCTGCAATCAAAATATAGGACACAGAAAGCTTTGGGGTTCTGCAGAATAATTACACAGCAATTACATAAATATAATTAGTAGGTCTTCTGCTCAGATTTCATGAATTACTATTTTTCATTGTAGCAAATACAATGCTCTTATTTTCCTTATTAATTTGGAGTCCAAAGATGCCAGTCACAAGGGGATTCTGGGAGTGCTTATTGCATAGACAAACTGCATTCTCAAAGCCTTACAACCCACAAGTAACTAAGTTTTTTGGTTTTGAGAATTAAATAGTTCAAGCTGGTGTCAGGCTGCCTATAAACATTGTTGTAACGTGGCCATGCAAACCTGAGAATTAGGTGACAGCTTCCATATTGACTGTCAGTTTACCTCACAGATGATGAATTTCATGCTTTTAAAGTAAATTATAAATGTATTTTTGAAAGACTACATGTGGTCTTGCTGAGCCAGAAAAAAAACGCGAAATGCTTATTTTCTTCAGTCCATATTGCTGTATCCAGACAGCAAGTTACAAAGCAGCTCTAGTTATAAAATTAGATAAATACAGTGCAAAAGTGGGATAGAATCACTTCCCTGACCAGCTATTTGACATGCAGTCTTCAGTGCACTTTCCTGAGATTCCTGAGATTTTCTTCTCCTGAGATTCCTAAAGTCCTAGGGCCTTCTAGAAAGGTAATACTGCAATTCCAAAGTGACTACCAAAAATAAGACTGAAGTTTGATGAAGCTGAACATAGTCTTATGGATTACACTATCTCAGTTACGATGTGCATGTGATAACCTTGTCAGGTGTTTATCGCTTAGATGACATCTGTTCCTGAAGTGCCTAACAAAACTAGGGATGACTAGCATTGAGTCACTTTCCAGTCAAATCTGTGCTTGCAGAGAAATGAAATACCAGCTTTGAAACCAGTAACAGTGGTAGCAAATGACATTCTTCAGTTTTATCTTGTACTGGTCACTTCGACTGGTTCTTTTGGAGCCAGTCCAGTTTAATATGTTTATCCATGATCTGGATGAGGGGATCAAGTGCATGCTCGGTCAGTTCGCAGACAACACCAAATTGGGCAGGAGTGTGGATCTGCTGGAGAGCAGAAAGGCTGTGCAGAGGGATCCTGATAGGCTGGATCAGTGGGCCAAGGCCAATGGTATGAGGTTCAACCAGGTCAAGTGCCAGGTCCTTGCACTTGAGTCACTACAAGCCCAGGCAGCACTGTGGGCTGGGGAAAGAGCGGCTGGAAAGCTGCCTATCAGAAAAGGACCTCTGGGTTCTGGCCGACAGCCATCTGAACATGAGCCAGCAGTGTGCCCAGGTGGCCAAGAAGGCCAATGGCATCCTGGCCTGCATCAGCAATAGTGTGGCCAGCAGGACCAGGGCAGTGATTGTTTCCCTATACTGGGCACTGGTGAGGCTGCACCTCATTTCAGTTCTGGGCCCCTCACTATAAGAAGGACATTGAGGTGCTGGAGCATGTCCAGAGAAGGGCAGTGGAGCTGGAGAAGAGTCTGGAACATAAATCCTACGAGGAGCAGCTGAGGGAGCTGGGGTTGTTTAGCCTGGAGAAAAGAGGGGAGACCATATTGCCCTCTTCCAACTACCTGAAAGGAGGTTGTAGTAAGGTGAGGATCAGCCTCTTCTCCCAGGCAACTAGCAATAGGACAAGAGGAAATGGCCTCAACTTGCAACAGAGGAGGTTCAAGTTGGATATTAGGAAAAATTTCTACACTGAAAGAGTGGTTAAGCATTGGAACAGGCTCTAGGAAACTGGTGGGAGTCACCATCCCTGGAATTGTTCAAACAAACTTTACAATATGGTTTAGTGGGCAGGGCGGAATTAGGTCAAAGGTTAGATGTTATGGTCTTGGAGGTCTTTTCCAACCTTTGTGGCTCTATGATTCTCAAAGTGACTTACTACAAATAACTTCTGCCAGAAGGCTTATAACTTTTTTTAATACCTTTTGTAGAATGTGTAAGACTTTAATGCCTTTCTTATATATATGTTGTTTCTGGTGTTAAGAATATCAAGTTTCTGGCAGGAGTGCTTTCCCCTGGTTGCATATTCCAGTCTTTAAATGACTTGAGATTTTTAAATAAGCTTAATTATAACTACTAAAAGTATAGGGTAAATACAGCAGTAAATTATGATACAGAGTTTAACACTATTGCATAAAGTAAGGACACTCAGCGTAAGTAAATTTCATCTTCCTTTTGCTTTGTGTACATTTCAAATTAGGATATGGATGTTTAAGATCTTGTAATTGTTTTATTTTCAAGAAAAGACTGTTTACAAACATTTCTATTCTATCTACCTAATTACAGAGTGACACTTGAAGTCCTTGATTATTAAAAAACCCAACTAAACAAAAACCCACTACAGACAAAATAAATCAACTCTAGCAACTACTATACACAGGCTTTAAGAGCCATCTAGTGGGATTATTCTGCAAGTAACCCTGTAAACACTGAATAGAGCAATTCCTAATGAGCATTTTACTTAAAAGAGGCAACCAAAAAACCAATCAAATTATTAGAATATGGTGAATTAAGAGTCACGTTAACTCAAAAGGGAGCTGAAATTTGTTTTACACACAACACTTCTTTCCATTTCCCATAACACTTTATTGTGGCTACACAATTCAATATGCATTAAAAATTTGCAAGTAGATGAACAACCAATTTGTGTCTTACAGTAATAGTTTCCATATTGACAGACAATTTTAAGGAATGTTGCTGATGTAGTCAGATGCATTATATTTATTTTTTTAAACACTATATCAACTTTCTTCAGCTCAAAAACATGTTTAAGAAACTTTGTTGGTGCTGTTTTGTCTGACAAGAGAAGGTACCAGGTAGTTCAGAAGGACAGTCTTATAGCTTATGAGAGTAGAAAAACAGGGGAGAGAAAGGTTTATGAACTGAGGTAGTACTTTAGGGACCAGTGTCAATGAAAAAAGTATGCAAGTGATGTTTTCAAAAAGTAAAAAGCTTAGAACTGTATCAGTCTCACCTAAAAGGCAGATAGTAACTGTGAACTAAAGATTTGGTACAATGGGGAAGGAAGGAAGACATCATTAGACTGTTGTATTCTAAGCAAAATACATAAATAACATAGCAGAGAGGAAAATAACATCTCACAAGGCAAGTGCCATTAGAGTATTTATGATCCTGGAATTTAAGGGAGTTTGGAATTTTATTTCACAGACGTCTTTTGAAGAGAAGTGTCAAGCTCCTGGGATCTAAGCTTACTTGTATCAAACTTTTAAGACTTGAGTCAGGGAACCTAGACTTCCTCTACAGAAAAGCACAAGAAGAACTACATCCTTCCAGTCCCTAAAACCCAGGAAGATGAGGTGATAGTGACTTGCATACTAAGAAACAAGACGGGGGAGAGATGGCTGTGGATTAACTTGATCATTCCAACATATGCTGTATTTTTACTGTAGGTTAGACTGTTTCTTCCTTCTACTAAAAAGCAAATCAGTGAAAATTCAACTAAAGGTAAACAGTATCTTGATCAAATAATGAGCCAGCAGCAAGAAAAAATTGGTTTTAAGGGCCTCTCCTTTTTTGGGGAAAATTGCTTCCATTCTGTTAAGAAGCAGTAGCACAGAACACAGGAATAACAGAGCTAAGTGAGCTGGTGAGGTGAGCCTGGTGTTGTCTGTACCAAAGTGAATTTGGGAACTCCTGCTAATGCATCTGTGAAAATAGCAGCTACTGATGTGCCATAGCTGAGAGAATCTACCCTGGATACGGTGTGGCAAGATTTTCCAGTCATGCTACTGGACCTTGTTCTTTCAGAACTGATCATATACCATTACACCAAAGATGGGCATCCAAATTTATCCAGTCATACTTCAAATTGAAGCAAGGAAATGTGGTTTCAGGTAGAATCTGTCTTTTTTACGTTGAGGATACTTCCACGGTACACTCAAGTCAAACAAAGCAAACAAAAAAACCAAACAAAACCACAAACAAACAAAAAAGGAAAAAAGCAAAGCTCCTTTTATGCTGTCACAAAGAACTTCTGAAAAATTTAAGAATTCTAGACTGAAAAGTGCTCAGCACAGGATATGCTAATTTTTACTTGAAATGAATGCTAAAGAGCCCTTTTAAGTCAAATAACTTTATTTCAGATTACAGCAATACTAATAGTCAAACTGTTTACTAAAAAGTCACTTAGAGGAATTTTTACAATTCAATTGGAAATACAAGCAACATGGTTATAGCACGTTCTAAAAAACCTCATAGAAACACATAGCACTTGACCTATTAGTAATTACATTTAGCTAAAATGTAAATAGCATTATTCAGATGAGGATTTTTTAGGTCCTCGGTAATATCTTGAAATGACAGAAGTGCCACTTAATTGTCACTGCACTTGTCATAGCAAATGATAGCCCTAATCTTGAAAATTTTGCAGACTGGCAATACAGTAAGGCAAAGTAAAGCCATGACAGTTGGCTGGCAAGGAAAGGCTATGCCTGTCATAGCAAATGATAGTCCCAATCTCAAAGATCTTGCAGACTGACACTATCTTAAGTAAGGCGAAGTAGAAGTCGTGACAGCGGCCTTCCACAGATAGGTTAACTCACAGCAGTCTCACAGTCTTTCCAGTCACAGTCAAGAAGTCATCATCAGCCAAGGCACGAAGTGCTTCTTCGAACATTTCCTTCGTGACAGCCTTGAAGAAAAGAAGTAAATCAAATAAAGATGGGGTAATATTTCAAAGACAGTAAAAATTCCTTACTTTCTACCAATTTTCTTTTATTTTCTTTTCTTAAATTTTTATTTGTTCTTTTTGCAATTGGAAACCTGACCTGGAACCCTGAAGCTGAGTTTGCTAATTCAGAAGCCAGAATAAACTTAAGATAAATATTTGAGTTGAATTTGCTGTATCTGTAGTAGAACTGGCTTTCTAGTCACGCGGACAGAAAAAGTTCATGTTTCCCTTTCCCTCCATAATGTGATTTGAGGACAAGAATGTTCATTTGGAAAAACATGCTTTTAAAAATTAATGAAAAGGTAAAAACAAAGCAGGAGACTTACTGTATCAGACTGGGCTCGGAGATCATCGAAAAGCTGTTGGTACTTCAAAGACGGTGATTTACCCTTTGACTGGATAAGCTTCCTTAAGGCTTGAGCCAATTCCTCTTTCCGCTTGCGAGCTGTTGCGCTCATTCCTTATAAAAGGAAAGAAAACGCCTTTTAGTAATCAACTGAGGACAGGTTAAGTTACATTCTGAAAATTACAAAAGCCCAATAACAGCCCACTGTGAAAACACAAACCGGTAGTGAGAATGGATATGTCCACAATTCCAGTCCTTGGATCAGTAGCAGACTGTTTCAGTGCTTCCCGATGGAGGCGTCTTGCTTCTTCTACATCAATTGTTTCAACTTTCTCTGAAAAGCGCACCTTGGCGTGCGCCTCTGCCAGCCGGATCAGGGACTCAAGCTGTCGAGGATATGCAGAAACCATTCCCCTGCCACTACCAATCTTCCTCATGTCCACGTATGCCTGAAAAGGAGACAGTTGTTAAATACGTCAGTAAATCTTGTTATATTCGGTCTTTTTCAGAATCCACTTCATCCCACACCTCTTATTTCAGAACATGAACAATTCTGGTAACCCATTCCAAGTCCTGCATTTCTGCTCATGCACCTTCACAATTCTTCTGTAGTGACGGATAACCACATCACGTTACTTCTTTCTGTTATAAAGCAATTAGGCCATGGTAACAAATCAAGTTTTGAATCACTTTAAGAATGCAGGACTAGTCTTACATAGCAGTACTTCTGTCTGTAATGACACATTTATTTTGTTTCAGTAGAATTTAATGCTTTTTATGTGATGGAACCAAACCAACACCTCTGAAAGCTAAACATGAGAGTGCAGAATCAGTTCTAATCTGATCCCTTTTTCCTTTTAAATGCTGTTGGATTTCAAAAACTTTTCAGGATCTTACAGAAAAGTTGTATGTAGATGAGAGTATACACGCTACGGAATTTCACTTCTGACCAGTCAGGAAAGACTCTGAACATTCTATTAGCAACTCCTTTACCTCAATAAGGGCTTGGCTTGCTTCTTCACTTAATCTGGGATTTACGTAACTACGAGCATATGCAATGTAATCCCTCAATATTGCCATATCCATGTATTCCTCCTCCATCTTCTCTTCACTTTGGTAGTACAGTGAAACCAAATGGCGAGCAAGACGCCTGTCGTAAGCTTCATCACGTGGATCCAACATCAAAAAGATCAAGTCAAATCTGAATGGGATAAGTAAGCAGCATTAGTGTGCAGACCTTCTTGTCATTTAGGTGACTTGGTTTTTACAGGGGTTGACTTAACAAATACAAGTAGGAGTTACCAGATTCCTAATTCCTCCTCTAAATAAAAGCTGTTCTATTAAACTGAAAAGAAAATTTTCCATGAATTCTCAAAGTATAGAACAGCACAATGGATTTGCTTTCATCTTATGGACTTGAAATTTTTAAAGTGAGGTACATTCCGAAAAATTCAGATTCCATGTTCAAGGCTGACAGTTTTATTTTCTTAAAAAGAAACCCACACACCAAAAAAGTACCCCTGCCACAAGCAAAAAATCCCCCCACATAACAAATGCACAGAACAAACTGCTATTAAAGAAAGTGTCCTGAAAGGCAACAGCAAAGATGGCACGTACCTAATTATTTTATGCATATAAAACCCCCTAAGTAAATAAATAATGCATAAATAAAAAAGCACTTGTAGTTTAGTCCTGAAGAAAATGGTTTATAATTCTGCAAACAATATATTCAACTAGTCTCAACTATAAGCAGACATGAATAATGTATTTTTAGCCAGCCAATCATTTATTTTTGTAAGATTAAATCCAGTAAGAGGTGGAATTGAGACGCTGCTCAAGCCTAGTTTCATCCGGTACATCTGCACTAAGGTACCATCTGTTATTAAGTGGTTAAATTAAGTAGCTCTTAATTGAAATCTAAGGCGTGTGTACTCGGGATATGCCGTATACTATCAGTGTACTTCAAATTTGCAGTTAGTGTGGGAATTCCTAACAAGATAAAATTGCAGAACATAGTTAAAGTTTCTGTCAGCAGACACTAAATGTGGCTCCAGCAGCTATGCCCAAATGACTAGCTAGCATTGCCACTTCCCCAGCTAAGTTTACAGAGCAGTATGAAGCAGGCACAGATCTTCAGATTCTACCACATCTGCTGCAACTTCCCTGATCATCAGTGTTTCAGTTTTAAAAGCTTTATGAAACTAAGAAAAGCATCCTGAGTTTTTGTGGAAGTTATCAATACCTTAAGATTCAGAACAGCTCTTTTCTAGGAGATGATTATGAAACAATATAGAATTAAAGAGAGAGATCCTACAGATCTTCTCACCCCTGATGTTCAAAGTCAGCATGCAAAGACCAACAAGCAGTTCCCTGCTCATACAGAAGCTGTAAGAATAGCATTTAAAATAGGTGTTACAAAAGTTTTCCACTATGCTGCAAGCAACAGAGTTGTTCTGTTCTACTATATTTAACCATTTTCACAAGAGGAAGTAAAACATCTCCTAAAAATGAGACATGCAAGGCAGGAGTTCAGTACCTTGACAACAGTGTATGAGGAAGCTGAATGTTTTCAATAGTAGTCTTTTTCGGATTCCACTGTGATTCTATAGGGTTAGCTGCTGCCAGGATAGACGTACGGGCGTTCAGTTGGCAAATAATTCCAGCCTGTCAAAATGAAAAAACACTTCTGAAACCAGCTGCATCTATGTGCCACCGAAACCTTTTTCCCCCCAACTTCATGAGATCACCAATGTTCTTAGATGGGTTCTGCAGTAAAAAACTGCACTGCAAAAGCCTTTTGAGTAAAGCAAGAGCAAAAGCCTCTAGGGATACTTCAGTCTGCTCTGAAAGATTTAAACAAATATTTACCTTTGCAATGGAGAGTGTCTGTTGTTCCATTACTTCATGTAGAACTGATCTTGTGCTTTCACTCATTTTGTCAAACTCATCGATGCAGCAAATGCCATTGTCACTAAGGACTAGAGCACCTGTCTGAAGAACCAGTTGCCGTGTTTCTGGATCCTTCATCACATATGCAGTAAGACCAACTGCACTTGAGCCTTTGCCAGAAGTATACTGGCCTCGAGGAACCAAGTTATACACATACTGGAGCAGCTGTGATTTGCTAGTACCAGGATCACCACAGAGAAGAATGTTGATCTCTGCACGAAAATTGCCTCTTCCTGTGTGAGTAAAATCCTTTCTTGATCCCCCAAAAAGCTGAAGCAGGATACCCTATAAAAATCAAAACATCATGTCTTGGATTTGCTCTGTTAGCTATTCAACTGTTCAACTGAAACCTCTAATAAACCAAAATAGTACTAAAATTACCACAACTCAGACATGAAACGAAACACTTGAAACTGGTTTTAGATATCTTTTAAAAGGGTTCATTCTTTATAGACATCCTCAATTCCAGTTCATTGCAAACATATAGTTAAACTGCTAGGTCCTACAAACTCAGCTTCTAATTGAAGTCTGAAATTAGATTAGTTCCAAATCTGTTCCAAAACTTAGGTAATCAAAAAATCTGACAAGAAATTCTGCTGACAATACAGAAGGAAGAATAGACTATTGTTTTCCCTAAGGCTATGTTTAATCTAGGACCAAAGTACTATTTCAAATCATTAGAAAAGTTCCATTTATCATTTTCTTTTCAGGCAAACTGCTTTACTGCATTCACAACATTAGAGTTCTTTTCTTGCTCATAAAGGTGTAGTCTAAGGTCTCTTATTTCATTGGACTTTACCAACACTTCCTCCTTTATATTTCCTAAAGTAAGCTTATACTTCCAGTGTTAGTGAAGAAATTAAAGTAACTACCTTCCAGTATTTTGAAAGTACTGGAATTATTAGTTATAAATACATGCTTGTAATTTTATTAGCCAGAATTATCAAGAAGGATTTGTTTTTTCCTTTTCAACTTTACTAGATTAAAATTTCACAATTTCCCAGTATTCTTTCTGCATTTTTTTTCCTCTAGCAGGATATATATACTAGAAAGTCAATGAAAAGAAGTGCTAATCAGTGACAATGATGGCTGGAAACAGCAAGGAGAACCATACACTATCTAATTTAAAGCCTCTGCACAACTTCTTACAGCAGAGAAACCTTGTGGAGGCATGGAGTGAGCATTAGTTCTGTTCTCATTCACTTAAAGCAACTTGAAGCAGTCAGTAAAACACGATCAGTAATTATAAAGAACCTTCAGGTTGCAACCTAAAGAATCTCCCTTGATGAAGGGTCCTCAGCTTTCCTCAACTCCACCAGTCACTAGACTTGATGTGCCTTATTAGTGTGTCAAGAAGGTATCAACAAATGGAATAATCATTACTGTATTTCCATTCCAGCAGAAAATTATAGTATGGTTTTGAATTCAACTTTCAGAAACCTGTGAACTATGATAATGTATAAATCTATAAAAAAATCCCAAAGAAATATACTTGAAAAGGATTGTTTGATGCCTGATAATGCCTTGAGACCTGCTACTAATTACAGTTTTTGCAATGATGTTGTAGTACCTCAGTTGAACACTTTATTAGAACAGTCCATTCTTGGATATATCTAAGTAAATGTTTTGACACCCCATAATTCAATCAAATGCCATTTTAAAGCTAGTGTTCTCTTGTGAGCAAGCACTTACTATGTTACAGCTACTTATTTTTCTTTGATCATCAGTAATCTGAACATTTATGAAATGTCCAAGATGCCTCCTGCAATTAAGTTTTCCCCATTCTGTTGCCTTCCTACCTTTTCAATATCTTTCCTCTAATTAGCACTCCTTAATACCATGGAAAGAATTAAAATACACTTAGAATCAACCTCTAATCCTGACAAGACCATAACATTTGACTTCAGTAAGGCCTTTGACACTGTCTCCCATAATATACTCCTGGAAAAGCTGGTAGCCCATGGCTTGGACAAGTGTATCCTCTCCTGGATTAGGAGCTGGCTGGAGGGTCGGGCCCAGAGAGTGCTGGTGAATGGAGCTGCATCCAGCTGGCGGCCGGTCACCAGTGGTGTTCCCCAGGGGTCTGTGTTGGGTCCAGTCCTGTTTAATATCTTTATTGATGATTTAGATGAGGGGATTGAGTCCATCATCAGCAAATTTGCTGATGACACCAAACTGGGAGGGAGTGTCGACCTGCTGGAAGGCAGGAGGGCTCTGCAGAGGGATCTGGATAGACTGGAGAGATGGGCTGATTCCAATGGGATGAAGTTCAATAAAGCCAAGTGCCGGGTCCTGCACTTTGGCCACAACAACCCCCTGCAGCGCTACAGGCTGGGCACAGAGTGGCTGGAAAGCAGCCAGGCAGAAAGGGACCTGGGGGTACTAATTGACAGGAAGCTCAACATGAGCCAACAGTGTGCCCAGGTGGCCAAGAAGGCCAATGGGATCTTGTCCTGTATCAAAAATAGCGTGGCCAGCAGGAGCAGGGAAGTGATCCTTCCCCTGTACTCTGCGTTGGTGAGGCCACACCTTGAGTATTGTGTTCAGTTCTGGGCCCCTCAGTTCAGAAAGGATATTGAGGTGCTGGAGCGGGTCCAGAGAAGAGCAACAAGGCTGGTGAAGGGACTGGAGCATAAGTCCTATGGGGAGAGGCTGAGGGAGCTGGGGTTGTTTAGCCTGGAGAAGAGGAGGCTCAGAGGTGACCTCATCACCGTCTATAACTACCTGAAGGGAAGTTCTAGCCAGGTGGGGGTTGGTCTCTTCTCTCAGGCACTCAGCAATAGGACAAGGGGGCACGGGCTTAAGCTCCGCCAGGGGAAATTTAAGTTGGATATCAGGAGAAAATTCTTTACAGAGAGAGTAATCAGGCATTGGAATGGGCTGCCCAGAGAGGTGGTGGATTCACCATCCCTGGAGATTTTTAAACGCAGATTGGACGTGGCACTGAGTGCCATGATCTAGTAAATGGACTGGATTTGGACCAAGGGTTGGACTCGATGATCTCGGAGGTCTTTTCCAACCCAATCGATTCTATGATTCTATGATTTTAAGACTGCTCAAGATACAGTTTTTTGAATTTCTAAGCTTCAGGGTATTTTTAGAACAAACAATAATTACAAATATACTCACATACAAAATACTGACATACAAATACACGTCTTACAAGAGAAAAATAAATTCTTTTACCTTTTTGATATCTTCATGCTCATAGATACTTGGAGCCAGTGCTAAAGAAAGTCTCTCATATATGTCTGCTTTTTTAGAAAGCTCTTTGAGAATTTTCACACGTTCCTCTGTAAACATTTTTTGCTCCGTTTCCTCATCGACACCATGCAAGCGTTTTGAATCTGTCTTGCGGTAGTGTATGACATCAATGTGGGTCTTATACACGGATTGTACACTGCTGACACGTGGATTAACTCGAATTGGGACTGCCCGGTAGATACCTAAAACAATTTTTAATCGCAGCATTAGATATGGAGAACTATGATAATCCCAACCCCAAACAAATTTTATAAGTTCCCTTGAAGAGTACAGGTTTTCAAAACAGCCTAAATACTTTGGTCAGTTTATTTCTCAGTATAAGTCATACAGAAGGCAATGGAACATATTTAAGTCATCTAGACCCTGTATTTGCAGGTACATGTATGTGTTTAACATTCGTACCAAAAGTGTTCTCAACAATAAAAACACTTAAACATTTTTTGAAAGAAAATTAAGGCTTGATGCATTCAAAATTCCTGTTCCAGTGTCTAATCAGCCTTTCCCCCGTTTTGAAGGGTTTTTTAGCAGCTTTCTACATCTCAAGCAGCTAGCAGTACAGCAGTTCTTTTAAAGCAAAGTGGTTTATAAAATGTGGTTGCAGTATCACAAGACCTACTCTACATTATCACTCTCCTGACTGCAGACACTATTTCAGATACTGCCTCTTCTTCACCTACAGTTTCAGAATGACTGAATCATCAAGGTCAGACAAGCTGGAGACTGCCTAATACAACCATGGACTCAAACTGGAGTCAGCTGGAACAGGTGCCAAAGGCTGTGTCCAGTCAGATTTTCGGTACCTTTAAGGATGGAGACTCCACACAGCCTCTCTAGGCAACACGTGCCAGGGCATGACCACCCAAACAGTAAAAAAGTTCTTATTTTTACCTTTTTAAACTGGAATTTCCTGTATTTCACCTTGTGCCCTCTGCATGCCACTGGGCATCGCTAAGAAGAGTGTGGCTTTGCCTTCTTGACACTACCACCCCCCCACCCACACCAATCAGGTACTTAAAAACACACTCCTAAAATCCCCGAGCCTTCTATTCTTGAGGCTGAGCAGTCCCAGCTTTCTCAGCCTTTCCGTGTATGACAGAGGTTCCTGTCATGATCGCCGCCCTTTGCAAATTCACTCCTGTATGTTCATGTCTCCCTTGCACTAGGAGACCCTACAGCTGGACCCAGTACTCCCCCAACCTGCTGGCAATACTCCTAATGCAGCCCAGGAGGCTCTTGGGACCACAGCCATGTGGTCTGTCAAGCACTGCTTCCTTCCAGTTTTGTTTCTGTCTACAAGAAGTTTGCTGACGGCGCACCACAACACTGTCCCAGTTAGAAAAAGTTTCCAGGATTATTAGCTCTATCACCTTCCCCAGGGGTCAAGATGAGGCTGACTGACTTGCAGTTCCCCAGGTCTCCTCCTGACTCTAGAGAGTGACATTGGCTTTTTTCCAGGATCTCAGCCAGTCATCGTGACTTTTCAAAGATTGACTGGCCTTACAAAGAAAGTATCCAGCTCCCAGCTCTTGCAGGTGCATCCCATCAGGTCCCTTTAGAGATAGTTATGATCAGTGAAAAAGAAGGATGCAAATACTCAAACCAAATTTTACCTGTGACATTAACTCTGTCACCTGGCTGCACTTTATCAACAAGGTCATTGTGAGCAAACAGCACAACCGTATGTGGGGTCTGCCCAGCTGGCATATCTTCAGGAGACTCCTGCAGTTTGATCTAGCAAAAGAAAAAGAAAAACCACTTAAGTTTCAGTTTCAAAAACCCAAAGCTTTTCCACAGAGCAGACCAAAGATTTTTGTATTGGCACAGTCTTCAGCATCATTTGAATGAGGAACATTGCTGAAGAACAACATATCCCCACCCAAACCGCAAAACTGATTACTGATTGATGTCAAAAGACATGACGAAAATGAGAATTCTGCTGATTGCTGGTGTGGCTAAAATGCTGTTACATACAAGGCTCATCTAGTCTAGATAAAAAGGGACATATTATATATAAAGGGGCTTCCACGTACAAACATTAAGAAGTGTACATACTTCTTTTCATCCTTTTAATGCATTTCTTCTCCAAAGCAGATTTACCATTTCACTAAGTTTTTTCACCCACTTTCATGTTCCAAAACACTTTCGCTTTCCAAAACATTCAGTCACAAGATACATAATTCATACTACTGATGATTTTAGGAGGGTGGAGGAGAAAAAAAATAAAAACTGTTTCATTTAGCCACTACTAAGCCAACATACCATCTGCTTGTCAGAGAACATGGATCGATTGTGAATCAATGCCATACTGTGCGTTGTGTTACAGTTCTTGCACACTGATGGTTCAGCAATCCTGCCACGATCGATTTCTACTCTGGTGGTGAAAGCGCAAACCTGGCATTTAAAGAATGCTTCCTGCATCTCAGGAATTAACTGAGAGCTTCTGATGACCATGCCACTGATGGTGATGAGTTGATCAATGTCTACAAAATTATAGAGACTCTTGTCATGACTTCATATTCCTAAAATTTAAATAACCTTCAAAATTTCATGTTAGATTAGTTTTTAGGCAGGAGGTAGACATTCAGTTATCTACTTGTATTTTCTTTCAGAAAAAGCAAAAAGAATCATAAATGCATAGTACAAATATTCTAATTTACAGGAGTATTTACACAAAAGAAAGAATTCTTTGCACTTGCAGAACTAAGAACCTGAGTAGCTGATGATAGATTTCCTTTATGAATAGATCATTCTGCATACAGGCTCTAAAGTATTTGTTTCTGAAACAGAAATATGAACAGAAGACACTGGTCTGCATGGACCACAAGTAGTTTTATATGGTCTCAATGTAATTCTAGGCTAGCATTCATTAAGAATATATAAATCTCTTAAGATCCTTTTCTGACATGGTAAGCAAAGAGTTTACCTTCAGGGTTTAGACTTCTCATATTCCTAGTCTTCAATGCATTATATGGCCTTACTTGAATTTGATGTTCTAGTATTGAATCAGGGTAACGATCAAAAAATATCTCATTGGCAGCCATGTCAAATGTTGGGATAACTTCCTGTATAAAATTGTTAAAAACAGTTAAGCTTACAAATTAAAAAAAAATAATCACAGGGTGAAGTAATTTTGCATAAAGCATTTTATGTGCTGCTGATCAGACACAAAGTTACGCCATCTGAGCATTTTCCTATGTAACAGAAAACCTGCTGTTCAGACTGGATTTATTAATTTACTTCAGAATTGCAAGGGGAAGGAGGGAAGCACAAGACTAGATATTGCAGATCACTGGTTAACTTTGCATGCATGAGGCACCCACTATATCCATGATCAACTACTATGATATGAGACATTTTATATTAAGTAAAATAAAGAAGCCACTGAGATGGCACCGAATATACAAAGTACACATTGCATTTTAACAAACATATTAAGCCCCAAAAATATGAAAGGGCCACTTGAAAGCCAGAAAACAAGTGCACTACTTCACCTGAGGGTAGCAGATCAGTTGCCTGTAGAGATTTTCATCAAACGATCTTAGATGATCACAGTTTACGTTCAGGAATGGTTCCCCAACAATATTAATCTACAAGGGAGTTTAGAAATCTTTAGCTCAATGGCATGCAAGACTGAAAAAGAAAAGTTAGATTTCAGTGCCTTACAAGTACCTCTTGAAGTCGCTGCATATAGCGTGGCTCATTAAGATCCAAGCCAATGTCTTCATCCTCTTTATCTAGTGGATCGATAAAGCGCTGAAGAAATCTCTAAATGTTAGGGGTAACAGGGAGACAGACAGGAAAGATAAGCAGAATAAGTAGTAGAAACGCTTACTTTGTATCAGATTCAACTAATATTTAAGTCAAACTAGCTTCTTATTTAAAAAAAAAGAAAAGCAGGTTGTTAACCTACCTGGAATTTTTCTTTGCATGAGGCTACATTAACATCGGTTCCCCAAATAACAAGCCTTTGTCCAAGAGATTGCTTGGTTGCTACTATATCCTCAGCCAGCTGCATGGAAACAAATTGAGCATATGCAAATATGGGTACGTCTTTAAAAAGAAGTTGTCAGATACAAGATCTGAGACATATACTTACCCCATCTGAGTGTAAATCAACTTGTCTGGCTTTACGGGCAGACCCAAGATCTGGCCTCTGCCTAACGGGAGTTCCTCGGACACCGCTTCGTGGAGTACCCTCTACCCTGGAGCTTGGTGTGCCGTAAGTCAAAGGTGAACTGATATCGAAGTCAAGAGGAATAGCTATAAAGGGAAGTGTTTTGTAGTGATTATCAAGGCATTTTACACTGAGAGAAGACTAAAATTCAGTCTCTGCATTTGTCTCATAGTTCTTTTAAGTCTACTGTCATAAAATGAGTGGCATCAATTCCAGTGTTTTGTCAAAACAAACAATAAAGGTGTTGCAAGTCTATCTAGAACTTCTCTTTGCATTAACATCTCAAAGATCCCAAGTGCTAGTAAAGCTTCACTAGAAAACTTTTGAGCAGGACTGCAATTTAAAACTACATTGGTGTTCAAGAATAAAAACATACAGCATTTTAGATTAAACACATTTTTCAGTATTTTGGAGGCTGTAAAGCAAGTGACACAATTAAAAGCTACTGGAATTGAAAACGATCCTATATATAAAAGCAAGTAAAGCTTTTTATGGCTAGCAACCTAATTCTTTCTGCAGTAATAGCTTTATTATTTCTAGAAATACATGAGAGAAAAAAATTAAGGTATAATCGCCGATAATACTCCCATGATAACTGGAAGCTACAACAGCGATCTGCACCCCTGACGCTGACTGAGCTTCTGTAGTGCCTAATACGCTAAAGTCAAATGAGAAACTTCAGACAACACTAATTTTCTCCTCAAGTATTTTCCAGCCAGGTCCATTCTGTGTACCAGCTCGCCACAGAGCAGCGCAGGCAGCTCCCAGGCTGCATCAGGGCGGCCAGCGCAGCCCCAGAGCGGCCCCAGCCCAGCGTACCGGAGTGGCGGAACTGAGGGGGGCTGGAGAACAGCGCGTCGGCGGCGCCGGGGCTCTGCACGTCGGCGGCCGGCGACGTGGGCAGGGGCTGCAGGTCCCCGGTGGAGGTGGAGTCGTCCGCCCGCCGCTTCTGGGAAGGAGGAGAGCGAACATCTTGCGCTGCAAGACACAAGCGGACCCGGGGCCGGCATTACAATGGCCGGGCCGCCGCACCAGGCGGACCGAAGCGGAGGCGCCGGGAAAACACTCCCGGGGCGCGGCGGGCAGCCCGCTCCCCGCGGTCCCCGCCCCGCCAGCCCCTTCCCGCCACTTACGAGTCGGGGGGTTGCTGCCCCTGCCGCGCTTGCCGCGGCGGCGGCTGGGGGTGGAAGCCGGAGACGACATGGCGCTGCTGCGGCTCCCGCGGCGGTCCTACCTGCGGGTAGTCGGCGAGAAGGATGAGCGCGGCGGGCGCCCCGCCACCCGCCGAGCCCCGATCCCAGACCGGAGGGTTTCCCTCCCTGTCCCTCCCTCTCCGGCAGCGCCCCCCGCCCAGCGCCCCCTCCCCCCTCAGCGGGCACAGAGACACCGAGACCCTCCGCGCCGAAGCCTGCGGCGTGCGCGGCTCTCGCGGGCTTTCTGGCCAATGGCGAGGCGCGATCGCAACAGGAGCACCCAACGGAGGCAGAAAGGGGGGATGCGGACGGGAGAAGGAAAGGAGGAAGGAGATAAACCCTCCGAACCCGCGAGGTGAGGGCCGCGCCTTGCTTGACCTGCAACAGTAGAGAGAGAAGTATAAGGCAGGATACTATTTGTGCTACGATAGGGAGGCTGCCCTCAGGACTGCCACATGGCCCACCCCCCTCAGTCCAGAGTGGAACTGCCCGCACCGGGCCGAATTTCGCGGCAAAACTAGCGCTGCAGGGAGGCGCGGGGAGGTCGGAGCGGCCCATTCTGAGCAGAGGGGGAACCACCACTGTATCCGATATTACCGCATCCCGTTCTGGGCTCCTCAGTACGAGGGACAGGGAGCTCCTGGAGCGGATCCAGCGGAGGGCGACTGAGATGCTTAAGGGACTGTAGCATCTCTCTTACGAGGAAAGGCTGAGGGAGCTGGACCTGTTCAGCCTTGAGAAGAAATGACTTGAGAGGTGTCAAGAGGGTGGAGCCAGGCCATTCTTGGTGGTGCCAAGCAGTAGGATAAGGCAACGGGCAGAAACTGATGCACATGAAGTTCCACCTGAATATGAGGAGGAACTTGTTTATTGTGTGAGATACTGTGCAGTGCAACAGATTGCCCAGAGAGGTGGTGGAGTTTCCCTCCCTAAAGATCCTCAACAACTGTCTAGACACAATCCTATGCTTTGGGATAACCTTGCTTGAGCAGAGGGGTTGGACCAGATGACCCACTGTGGTCCCTCCCAGCCTTACCCATTCTGTGGTGTTAAATGTGTGTCCTGAGTCCATCCTGCGACGAGATACACAAAGATGCCCCGAAACGCCCTTCCCTGCCACCACCCCTCATTCCTCCCTCCCGGAATGCTCTAGCTGAGGATTCTCCTGCCCCCCCGCGCTCGGCAGTCCGTGTCCCCCCTCTTGGCTGCGTTGGATGCTCCCGGGGGCGGTGCCCTCCCGCCCGCTTCCGCGCCGCGCTCCGGGAGCTGCCGGGTCGGCATGGCCGGGGTGCGGCAGTACCTGCTCCAGCTGCACCGCTGCCTGCAGCCCGGCGATGCCCTGCACGGGTACAGCCTGCTCCGCAGCCTGGCCGAGACCTGCCTCACCAGCCTGGACAGCGGCGAGCAGGGTGCGCCCGCGGGCCCGGCCCCTCGGGGGGTGCCGGCGAGGGGGTTTGAGTGGGGTTTGGGGCGGCCGCCCCCGCGCTGGAGTCGGACAGCGAGTGCTCGGCTTGGGGGGGCTCGGTGGTGCCGGGGACACACACACCGGGGCGGCGGAACTGCGGGGCGGCCACGGCGCTTCACTCCACACTTCGTGTTACTGCTGTGGCAAAAAAGGTGTATTCCGAGGGAGGGGCGGTCTCTTGCCCCAGATAACTATTTACCCGAGTAAAAGCACTTCATGCGCGCCCCTCTCTGAGCTGCCCCCAGGTCGGCTTCCCCTCGGCCCCTAGCAGGGGCAGGCTCAAGTGCGAGGGCACTGGCGCAAGCCCTGGACCCGAGGCCCTGGGGAGGTCGGTGACACTCGCACTGTGTTGCGGTTTTTTTGGTGACAACCATCAGTCGTGCCTGAGGCGTTAAGGCACCTGCAGCCCCCGGGGATGGGCTGGGTGTTGTGCAGCCCTCCCTGCCCCAGCAAGGAAACCAGCCACTTGATGCTTCCTTTGTTTTGTAGCGCTGCACCTGTCCCTGGTGTTCTCCCAAGAGCATGGCTTACTCGTCTTTATCCACAGATCCCTCAGCATCGAGGAGGTGAGTTGGTAAACTTTAATTGTTAAAGCAGTGTTGAGATAGTGCTGAGTGAACAACTTATTATATGCTTTAATTTTTTTGTTTTGTTTTAAACTGTCAGTTTAGAGATTGCAGGGAAGAAGCGTTGAAGTTTCTTTGCGTCTTTATGGAAAAAGCTGGTGACAAAGTTCATCCCTATGCCTGTAATATTAAGGTAGGTAAAGGAAAGTTGTTTCATAAAGGCCTTTGCCAGGTGGTTGAAACAATTCAGGTGGAGCTCATACCATAAGAGATTCTTAGCTATCTTGCACGCCTCCCATCTCTACTGTTCTTGTTAGACCTGAAATAACTTGGTTGACATGAAGTGTAATTCATACCGCAGAAAAGTGTGGAATGGTTTCTTTAATTATAGACTTAATTTTATTAACTTTTTTTAATAGAACTTAATAGGTGTTGAGTCTGAAAATTACTTATTGACATTGAAAGTAATAGTTATAACTTCTAATTTACACAAACTGAGCTTGTTTCTAGAGGTGGTGGTTAATTTTAAATATCAATTTTTTAAAAATTTCTCCTGCAAAGTTGTTATGCAGAAATTAGTGGTAATTACAGTAACTCTAAAAATGAGGTTCATTGAGTCTGGAGTGCTGAAGAGCTCTGCATTGCTTCGCACAGAAATGCTTGACCGCACCACCGAAGTTTCTGATCTCAAATTAATAGCTACTTACTGTAAGAAATGACAGTACATTAGGGGGGGAGAATGTGCTGTGTTTGCCTTTTACTTCAGAAACTGCAATTTCTTTGCTGGAGTTGGGATTTGTTATTATGTCAGACAGTGCTGCAATGTTGTCAGTCAGGCCACTTCGGGGCCTGTTTTAGTCTTTTTTAAAAAACCGTGAACTTGTGAGCAACAGATACTTTAGAGAGGTAGATGAATATGCGTTATCTTTGAGTTTCCTTCTTTACTTACAAGTAATTTAATCTCCATTTTCTTTCCTATGTAGCAAACTTGTCTTAGTGTCTATACAAAAGAGAGAGCAGCAAAATGTAAAGTTGCAGCACTGGAACTTCTGATGAAGGTAAAATGCATTTTTTAAACCTCTCTTGTTTCTAGAAAACAGTAGAAAATCTGTTGTATTGCTACAGTTATCCTATATCAGAAAATCCGTAATCTGCAGTAGCAAGAGAATAGTGATAGTGTAATATTTAGATGTTGGAAAGAGATATGTCTTAACAACAGATTGTCTTCAGTATTCTCCAGTAGGTTGCTTAGGATGTAAGCGCATCATTCCTTCATCTGCTAGAGCAAGACACAGTTGTTTTGGGGGCAGTTGCAGATCTCTCAGTTAATTACAGTTATTTAAGGAGAAATTTTGCAGTTCAATTGTATTCTTTAATATATGTATTATATGTAATATTTTAATATATTAGTGTATGTGAAAGGTGTGGAGAAGACAGACTTTTTTTTTAGAAGTTTAGTTACTGCATAATTTTACAATGTGCTTCCTTGGAATGCATTAGACTCTTGTTTTGCAAATGCTTTTGCTCTTACTTAGTTTTGTTTATGAGAAAAAACCCCATCCCTTCTGAGTTATTCGGAGTCAGTTCTGTGAATTTGATTGGCTTTATACCAGCGGGGAGATAAATACAATATGATAAAAGATATTGCGGACTTGCTAAGCCTGTGCTCTTGTGAGGTGCATGTGTGTATATGTATATATATATAAATAAAAATAAATTATATTTTAAAGTTAAAAATTTTGTATTTATGCACATTTAGCAAGGTAGTTTATTGTTAAAGTAGATTTCGTACTGTTAATCTTACCTGGCTCGATCACCTTAAATCTCTTTCATTGACTAGCATACTTTCGTTCTTAAGCTGAAGGAACGTGTATGAACTGTATTTTTATTTAGACCAAGTAGTATTGTGTTAGTGATATTAATGCTTCTCCTGAATTTTCTTTTTTTCCTTTTTTTTTCTATCTTAGTTGCTCCAAAGTTTACGATGTTCCTGTCTGATGGAAGAAATGAAGGTTGGGGAGATATTTAATAAATTTTATGGGGAGCTTGGTACAAAAAGTAAAATTCCTGATACAGGTAGGCTTTAGTTTTTCTGGCAGTTTTCTATGTTTTATTTACATTCAGTTTTTGTTGGATTATACCCCATGGAAATGTATAGTTGTTATTCCCATGGCAAGTGTGTTTAAAAATGTAAAAAGGTAGTAGTGAAATTTGTTCAGGTCTTCTGATCATGGCCAAGGAGTTAGCTGCTTCTTAGCAGACCTGTATGTATGTATGACCTAACATTAGGAAGAAATCATATAGTTGCATTCAGTGGTGGCAGTTCATACTGAATTTAAGCATAGATCTGGCTTAGGATTCCCAACAAAAAGTATTTTCATGTCTTACCTATTATAATTAGATCCTGAATGCCTAAATCCTGAAAGTAATTCCAGCTTTCTTGTCAGTAACCAACTTAGCTTTGCTAGATTCTTAGGTTTAATTTTTTCCCCAGGTTAAGTGCTAACCTGGTGTAGTTGAACCTTTGAAGTTACTCTTGTGCCTGGTTTATAAGTATACACACACACAGACACATACCCTTATAACTTTGAGCCTTATGAGTAGTGCTGGTTCCTCCAGTGGGTGCTCTTAGCAAAAGCAGAGACTGCCCATTCCTGTAGAAGTTCATGTCAGCTCCAGCTCAGTTGCTCAGGGTGCTGACTGACAGCCGGCTGAGGGAACTGGGGTTGTTTAGCCTGAAGAAAAGGAAGCTCAGGGAGGACCTTTATCACTCTACAACTATCTGAATGGAGGTTGTAGGAAGGTAGGGGTCGGTCTCTTCCTCCTGGCAACTAACGGGAGGACAAGAGGAAATGGCCGTGAGTTGCACCACGGGAGGTTTAGATTGGATATTAGGAAAAATTAATTCACAGAAGGGGTGGTCAGGCATTGGAGTAGGCTGCCCAGGGAAGTGGTGGAGTCACCATCCCTGGAGATGTTTGAAAGATATGGAGATGTGGTGTTTAGGGA